GGGGCGGGGACAGCGCGCAGCCTCGCGCCGCTCACCCCCGCCCGGCAGCGGCCGCGACACCCGGGGCGAGCGGGAAAGCCGCGGCGGCGGCTGGGGAAGGATGCAGGGCAAGAAGCCGGGCGGCTCATCGAGCGGCGGCCGGGGCGGAGAGCTGCAGGGGGACGAGGCGCAGAGGAACAAGAAGAAGAAAAAGAAGGTGTCCTGCTTTTCCAACATCAAGATCTTCCTGGTGTCCGAGTGCGCCCTGATGTTGGCGCAGGGCACGGTGGGCGCCTACCTGGTGAGTCTTCATGCCAACTCCGCCGCGGACCCCAGCCCGGCCGGGCGCGCGGCTGCCGGCTGCACGGGAGGGGCAGGCGGGCTCGACCTCGGCCGGGCGGGCGCGGAGGTTGGCGAGTGGTGCAGAGGCTGCCGCTCCTCGGGGAAGCTGCCGGCCCCGGCTGCCGAGCCAGCCGGGAGCGGGCGGGACTGTGGATGCCGGCGGCAGCGCGCGCGCCCGGCGGGGTTGGGGGTGCCCGGGAGGAGGAGAAGAGGCGAGCGGCGGGCAGGTGGGCGTGCAAGTGCTTCTTTCCCCCTGGAAAGCGGAGCCAGATGGCGAGTCCGCGAGCCTTCTTGGAGAGGGAGACATCGCGGCTTTCAGGTGACGTGCACATGGGAAGAAAAGCCAGTTAGCATCCGGCGTCCCCTACTCGCCGTTCCGTCGCCTGGAGAACAAATCCATTATGCATCATTTCTCGGAGCTCTTTCTCCATCCGCCAATTACCGAGGGGGTGGATTTAACAGCTTAGAGTAAAAGGCGCCCGTGTGGCCCTGCTCTGAGCCGCAGCGGCAGGGGAAATGTTCCCACCCATATTCCAAGTGCCAGCTTTCAGCGTCGGGGATAAAGTTAGAGTACCTGGAGAGCTGCTTAGAGTTTGCGTAGTTCCTGCTGCCCACTGTTACAGCGAATTCCCCACTGTGGTCCCTCGCCCGCAAGAGTGTTGCATCATCGCGCACAATTTGTATCTATTTTATTTACTTCCAGAAAGCGCTTACTGGTGTTCAGCTGGCCCATGGGTCTCTAACGTATCGGAGAGACTGGCTTGTAATGACTCAGCACTGTTAAGCAGCTACTTTGTTGCGGTCTCCTGCCCCGCTCAGGTGGCCCCAAGTTGAGTTCCACAGCCTGCATTTCAGACTTGTCCTGTTCAACAGGAAAGACGTTGTAGAGTTGATAGTGTTAAACCATTACTTGGCTATTGACCTGAAACCGGAATCAAATGTCACAGACTTTGAATGTTAGACAGCGAGTTTGAAGGAGATAGAATCAGACAAGATTTCAGCTGTTGGATGACCACATCCAGTGATAGGCATGCGTCCTCACGTTATCATTAATTGCTCTTTCTTGGCCTTGGGTTAAAGTTAAGGAGGACCACCGCCGAGTGCCCTATACATTCCTAAGCAATCTCCCAAGCTCCTGCTGTTCAAGAGAAGTGAACCAGAAAGTGCTTAGATATGTGGATTTCAGGGAGGGTCTGCAAACACAGCTCTGTTTTGGGGTGACAGAATTTCAGTTCTCTGGGAAATCAGATGTATTTCTGTTGCTCCTGAGATGAAAGGTTTCGGTTCCTGTCTCTGTCATGTGCCTGCATAACTTGTGTGCTGCAAGTGTACCCTGGAGCCAAAAGCACATTCTGTTTTCTAGCTTATAAAATACTCTTATTTTGTCTATTATTATAATGCGTGCTTGTGGATAATACCTGTGGCTTTGGAGTTTGGGGGTAGGGGGGGAAATGTTTTGTGAATCTATTCATTGGCACTTCCTTGGGATGTCTGACTTAAAATATTTAGATCGGTATTAAGATGCAAAGAGCACATTAATGAAGTGTGCGTGGATCTGTACTGTAACAAAGTGCCTAATGCCTCACTGGATCTGTAAATGGAAATAATTAGTGTATCAGCAGCTGCCTCCAGTTAACAGTTTGGTTGCTTCAGACTCATTTTTGCTTCATTGAGTTTATTATTTACATGTAGCAATTCTAATGGAACTTTTAATCCTAGGAGTGATGAAGTCTTGGCTTATAATTTTTTTTCTTGCAATTCATCGGAATGATTTTTAGAAGCATGTGAAACTGGGCTTCAATCAGATGAATGGCCTGGCTCTTTTAAAGAGTTAAGAAACATCCGTAAGAAGCCCCTGGAGTGCAGGACTTCTCCAGGTTGAGCTGGCTCCAGCAGAGGAGAGGTTGACTTGGATCCGCAAAAAGCAGAACTGAAGCAGGCAGAGGAGGAATTCAGTCCACCTGGTGGTGACATCCTGGCACTTCTGCCCTTGGTCCGTGGAAAGCCTGGCCGGGTGGGGTAGGGGAACAGGTGCCTGGCAGAAGGCAGGTGGAAGCCCAGGAGAGGACTGGGTGATCGCTTTGATCCTGAGGATTGCAGGCATCAGGTTCTTGGGGCTGAGCTTTGCCCAACTGCCTGCCACGTTCCTTGGCCACCTGAACCTCATGAAAATAAAGAAGTAGATGACTGGAGTGACTCCATCAACTTGCTATGGGTTTTATTCTCCTGAGCCAGGGGGAGCTCTGTCTTCCTCTGCTCTTTTAGAGGTGGATTAAATGAGTTTGTTGTTCTTTCAACCATGAGAAATTTTTCTATGGCTAAGAAGGACCGATTGCAGAATGTTTGCAGAAAGGTAAATCTTCCATTTAACTGGTCACGATTTGCCTAGCAAAGCTGATGCCCTAAGTCTGAAGTGCTCACACAGGCTGGGTCCCTGTGCAAGGTGTATGTACATGTGATGTTTATATTGGCAATCAGCCTGCCCCTCTGATGCAGTATTTTCTGTTACAAGATGAAGGGCTTACCATAGGACTTTGCCAATACCGTTTAATATCGTGGAGAGAAGGCGGATTACAAATTCACCGCCAGTGACATTATAAAATCCATCCCGCTACCTTATTTTCTCTTGCGATATGCTGTTTTTTTAATAATAGGAAATTTAATTTCATTTTTCCCTTTTTCTTTCTAAAAAGCTAGATTATCTCGTGTCCTCAAGGACACTGATGCAGGCTTCTCAAGTGCAGAATTGAAGCAGAAAGCTACGAGATTTGAGCCACAACTTTACAAAGGAGAAGCTGGTGTGCATGAGTGCATTTCACCTTACGAGCCCACCCAGGGAGGAGGAAACTCAAAGGAGAACTGTGCATAAAAAAGCCACCACTTCGTAGGGTAGGCTGAAGACCTGCAGCTTGTCACACAGGTGGTGGGGCCTCGTGAGGGATGCAGGACATTGATCCTGAGGACCAGACATAGTGATGCTATTGATAAGATGATGTAGCTAAGACAATCCCAGTGCCATTGGGTCAGCTGTGGATTCTGAAACCTGTTACTGTGGCAGATGCCTCAATTAGAAAGCAAGCTTCAGGTAAGGCAACAATTTCAAGGATGCTCTGTCACAGTCATTTAAATTGCTTGGCTATGACACAATTTTTCCAGCATTAGAGAAAAGGCCCGCTCAATTTGAAAGTCGCTGTGCATGAGACCGAGGATGCAGTGTGAGGCTCTTGTACTTGTGTCTTCGCTTTGGGTGGCTGCAGTCTGAACTGACCTAGTTGCGAGAATGTAACATCTGTATAAATCTTAGACTGGAGGAGGCGCAGGCATTTGCAAGCCGCATGGAGAGAAAGTCATTTTGTGTGCACTTCATCTGGGCTTTGTAGAGACCCACTGAGATGTTCCAAGCTGTTCACAAGGGCGCCTCTGCATAAAGAGGGGTGTGTGTGTGTGTGTGTGCGCGCGCGTGTGTTAGCAAATTACGGAGGAGGACTGGAGCAGATAAGGATGTGGACAGAAACTTAAAACTGCTGACAGCTCTGGACAATCACAACTGAGGCCCACGTAGCAGGGCATCTGAATTTCCTCGAGATGCAACTGAAACAGGCCCCTGCAGCCCCAGGGTGCAGCAGCCAGCCGCCTGGAGGAAGCGGGGCTGGGCGTTTCCTTACTGAGAGCTGTGCAAAAGTGTGCCTGAGTTTGCCGTGACCAAGCAATGACAAAGATAACAGAATGTGGCCGGCAAAGCCACGTCTTCCTGCTTCATAGTCACTTATTTTTAGGTCTGCGTAGACCCAGCGGGCTTGCAATGATTGGGTGAGGCCAGGCTGCTGGGTTGTCACTCCCTCCCCGCCAAAGGTGTCATTTTGAAGATGGCTTTTTGCATATCCAGCCCAGCAGCAGACAGCTGTGTGACATTTTTTAAGTCTTTATCAAATTAGTCTGATGACTAAGGTAACTGTATTTTACATAATCAAATAATTTTATACACTTACGGTTACTCAAAGTGCCAAACTTCCTGCCATAGGCATTATTATTTTTATATAGCCCCAGGTAGTATGAAATATAGTTGCTCTCATATTTTCTTCCTACAGCTTGGTTTAAGTTGTTTTTCTAATAATCATTAAGGAAAAAATGTATTTCAAAAAAACTTTTTCAACCAGTTTTGAGAGTTTTGCTTGCATGTTTAACAACAGAAGAAATGAAAGGGCTTGTGCAGTGGGTGGAGTCCGCTTCCTGAACTCTGTTAACTCTCCACCCAACTCAGTTCTAGATACCTGATAAAAAGGGCAGCCTGGGGCCCTGTTTCCAGGGGCTGCCTGGCTCCCAGCTGCTCAGCGCCTGCGCATCTTCCTGCCCTTGGCCCAGAGCTGTTCTGGGTCATGAAGCCTGGGTAGCCTCAGCAGCCAGTAGGGCGGCTCCATAGGAAGGCCCTCACCGGACTTACAGCATGTGATCAAAAGTTATGGTGAATGTTAAAATGCAACTAAAACATGCATCACAGTAAAACACACATGGCCATCAATCCCCTTCAAATTAGTCCCCTTGCTCCGTGATTTCATCCCATCATCCTTGACACTTTCCGTAGCAGTTTTGGAAGTCCTCTTTCTTGTCATTCTATGGCTGCTTTGACGTACTGAATTAATTCAAAACATTTACAAAAATTCCTGTCAAATAAAAACATGATAGTGTGTCTTCATTCATTTTATTCATCAGATGTGACCTTCAGGGTGACTGCTGGCTCTTCTTGAAAGTCACAGTGACCATAAAAAGCAAATGCTGTGAAGGGATCCTGGACATTGACACAGCACGACTAAAGACATTTTTGCAAGAGGATTTCTAGGACTGTTGCAGAAAGTGACAAAGAGATGGAAAAAGTGTGTTTGAGCAAAAGGGAGTAATCAGAGGGTGGTTAGTGGCAATGTGTTTTTTCCTGTAATTATTATTCTTTAAAAAATGTAAATATTAACTATATTTTTATCAGATATCATATTTGGGGTATTGAACAGAAAACTATGCAGTGCTGCTTGGATCAGGGGCCTGGTTCCTTTATCAACAGACCAGGTAGTATGTTAATTACAGTGTCATGCAAATGATGAGGATAGGGCCAGCC